TACAATTTACAACATGGCGAAGAAACTAAATAATTTGTGAGAAACCTGGTAGTGGTTTTATTGAGAAATGAAGCTCATCAAGATGGACTCGAAAGCTACCTCAATTTGGTCTTGGCAAAAAATTGTACAACCAGGGATATGAGTGAGGAAAAAGAAAGAGAAGAAAAGGAAAACAATGGTTCCAATTCAAGGAATTTATTGATGGTATGAATGTAGTGCTGGTGCATGGAGAGAGCAAAGTTACAATCCAACATATGATAGAACTATTTGAAACATATCCAATTAAAAAAAGAGAGTTAAATACACCAACAACCCTCGAACTTGTGTGTGCCACATAGGTCAATGTACTTGGGAAATGCATTTATGAGTCCCTAAACTTGTTAAGCGGTGCATCGTAGACCCATGCGAGCCACATAGACATCTTTTTGCTCGATGTGGCATGCTAGCGGGAGCCACGCATGGAACGTGAGCGCCAAGGTGGCCGTGGCCTGGTCGCCGGACTCCGGTAAGCCGATGACGACGGAGACGCCTAGGCGGTGGCGCGCGAGGTGGTGGCGTCCGACCCCAAGCGTTCTTCTCGGAGGCGTGGCGGGAGGACGTGGGGCATGAGAGATAAGAAGTAATGGTCTTTTTTAATTAGAAAATTGAGAAAAATAATGTGAGGGGTTAATTAAAAAGTAAATGTCATGCTAACATGCCTCGTCAGCAAAAAAAATGTGCACATGGCTGGCATGGGTCTGCGGTGCACCGCTTAAGAAGTTTAGGGATCCAGAAATGTATTTTCCAAGTTCATGGACCTATATGGCACACACCTATAAATTCGAGGGCCGCTGGTGCATTTAACTCAAAAAAAGGAACACTAATGTTACAATGAAAAAGAAAAACTAGCTACCCATACAATTTGCATGGGCGGTTAAACCTACTACCATGCTATTTGCGTGGTCAACCGGTAGTATACGAAGTTACTATAGCCTTATCAATCTGTGTTCCCATTCTTAAAATCAGAACAGGCATTGGTCTTCTGAAAGCAGTGTCACGTCGATGTATATATGATTGCTCCACAAAGAAAAAACAAAAGTCAGTGTCCTAGATATCTCTTTTTCGAAGGGACGGCAAAAGCTTTGTCACAAATTTTATTAGACGGAGAAATAAAAAATACAAAGTGTTCGGCCCAGTTTTTTGAGTGGAAACCGGGCTCAAAAACCACCACCTGGTAGAGTGCACCACTCATCCCGACCAACTTTAGAAACACCGCCCGAACACCTAACGACTTTGCCCCACTACTTGCTCAAACCTCAACCAACTTGGTCGAAAACGGCCCAACTAGCAACACAACTGTACTGGCAACTATCTAACAACTAAAGCAACTAACAACAACTCAGCCCTAGAACCAACTAGCAAAAACAACTATCACTACTAAACAACACCGAGTTTCGATGAATACTTCCATCAAACCATTGATTGCTCTTGAATATTTCCATATCACCCTTTGGTTAGCTTGCCCCTCTTCTTGTTTTTTTGTTGCCCCACTTCAATTAGCACCGTGAGGGCATCCATCTTCGCCTTGGTGAGCGGACGCTCAAAATGTTGAGCAAAAAATTCAAATTGGTCAGCTTCCTCTTTTGTTGCTAGTGGCGATAAGTCTCCTAGCTTTTTGACAAGCAACTTGGATTGCTCCTTTTCCTTGTGTGGTTTTGGATTTCTCTGCTAACCTAATGCTTTTGCGTTGTGGGGTAAAGAATGAGGGTCTTGGTGCTGGTGGGGTTTGAGAAGTTACAGATGTGTTTTCCATTTCATGATCATTGGGTTCTTCCTCAAGAACTGGTACTGGTAGTTGCGGGATTAGAGGGGTTGGTACAAATTTAGAAATTGAAGCCAAAAACCCATCAATTGTAATTTCCTTAGCTATCGCAGCTGGATCTTGTGGTGAAGTGGAACCCAATTCAATCTCAACAGTCTTGGAAGGAACCTGAGCGATAACCGGCTCCTGTAGTCTAGAAGAGGTGGTATTCTGATCATTGACAGTTTCCCAACCGTTACCATGTAGATCAGTGTGTGCCAGGTCAACAACAAGCTTCGGTATTCCAATCTCTAGAGGTACACCTCCTGAACTAGCCCCAAGCGTTGATGCCTTGCCATCAGCAACATCCACAGCCTCCCTTAAATTGTGCACTGGTTCCACTGTAGAACATGTTGGGTGCATCGCTTCCTCATCTTCATCCACTAGTGTCGTCGTACCACCTTGTAGGTTTTTTGTCGACGCCTCTGTTGGTGGGTCCCAATCTTTATGAGATGGTATTGACATCTCTAATAACCGTGAGCTTGCATCAAGGTACGAAGGCAACGGAGTAGGATGTTGGGAAGTTTCCACATATATGTAGAGGCTAGATTCGAACAACATGGGATCACAACTAACGATACTTTCATTAAAAAGAGGGGCAGTACCCGGCAGAATGAGACGCCCATCATCAACAGTGGCAGGTGCATGTTCCCCCATGACCTGGGAAATAGGCATCGCGAAGGATACCCTCTTGAGGCTAGGTGCTTGCTTCTTATGATCTCTATTGCTCCTACTACTAGCATGATCCACCACCTCCTTTGATCCAATGTCAAAGTGATTCTTATCCATATCTTCACTACCTTTGCAATTGAAACTCCTTCGCATTCCCTTGAACGACCATGAGAAGTCTGGACTCTCTTCTCTCTCCCAACATTGTGGCAGGCGTTGAGAGTGGAAGCCACTCTGATGGGACGAATGCATTCTGGGTTGGTGAGGTGCAATATACTCTGGAGACCGACGAGAGGGAAGTCTAAGACTTGGACAAAAACTTGACTTGTGTCCCTCTTCCAAACAATGCCAGCAACAAGTGTTCCTTCTGCAAGACACCACCATGTGCTCGGTAGAGAGACAATTGAAGCAACGCCCCCTCATATGATGCAAGAATTTGTGTCTCCTCACCACATGCTGTTCAACTCATTGTGGTTGTTCGCCGGCTATGGGGAATCTTGGATGCTCATTTGGTTTGTGCCATTCACACTTGCCTTCCAAACAGCGCCAGCATCTTTCCTTTGTGTGCTGGAAAAAACTTCTTCCCTCAGCCCTATCTATCTTGGTAGCTAGCATACTAGAATGGCCTGCATAGTGTCTCCACCAGTAGTGGCTCTTTGCATCCTCCCAGTCCCCGCAACCATGGCCTCCCTCCATAGGTTGTGACGAACGACAGAGCCCTTTGGGGACATGGTTGCCAGCTGGTGGTGCTCGGGTAGGTGCTGCTCTTGAGTGCTTTGCTGATGGGGAGGATCTTGGGGGCTCATGAGATATCTGTGCACCGGAAGCGTGCCACCGCTGTTTACAGGTTTGAATTTTGCCATCAGGATGAGCTGGGTGCCACCGCTATCCAACGGAAGTGGAAGCATGCCCAGATTTTCGAGGGCCGACATCACTGCCTTGCTCTGCTTTGATCTTACCAATCCCCTTCTCTTCTCTGGTGTGGCGTCTCTGCAGGGTCTCGTCATGGACTTGACTCTTGCCTAAGTCTTCATCTGAGTCATTCGCTATCCGTTGGAGGAGGTCTTCCAACTGTGGGTCTGAGGACGACAGGGCTGATTGCTTGCAAGGATGCGGTTGATTATGGGAGTTCGGCGTGAAGAACTGCTGCAGACCATGCACGATGCTTGGAAGAATGGGGCGCCCAATTGGAGAGTGCGCTCCAAACAGATCCTCCGTCGAAACTAGGGAAACTTCATCCAGCGACACCAAAACGCTTCCAGGGTGAGCCGCAGATGACGAACCTGAGGCGAGCGACCCCTGAATGGGTAGCTCAGAGAGGGGAGAAGCTGGATCAGTGGGGGGCATGTTCTGATTTGGTGGATTAGCGGTGGATTTCGGGGTGTCAGGGGGCTCGGGAGCGTAATGCTCGTCGCCTGATGCGGGAGGGGTTGTAGTGGCATTCCGGTTGGGCAGATCGGGTTCCTCGAACTGGGGGGATGGGCTTGGATCTAGCCAATGGGAGGTGAATCTAGCGTCAGGATGGCAGGATCTGGGGGAGGTTCGTCACCGTCGGGGGGAGGATCGTCGCCGTCGGGTGGAGGGGGCGGGGCGGGAGGCGGAGCGAGAGCCATCACATCGGCCTTATAATCTACTCCCGACTAGTTAGTGCTCGTCGCCGGCGAATACCTAGGCACGACACCTGGAGTAGGGCCGCGGCGGCCAGAAGAATTTTGTGCTGAAGGAGTCCTCCCAGCGAGGGTGTCGACGAAGCCTGACGATGCGGCGGAACGGACCGTCGAGCAGCCTTCAGATGCGTCCGGGACGGCGGCACAGGAAGAACTAGCGGCTGGGAGAGTGTGGGGGCTTGGGGGGCTGGCTGGGCTGTCGGAGGTGGAGGAGGGGGTGGTGGGGGAGGATATGGTGGCAGCGGCGGCGGCGGAAGGGGAGCTGGCGGCGGAGGCGGAGGGGGCGGTGCGAGTGTGGACAGAGGCTGTGCGAGTGAGGTGTCCTAGGTATCTCACTGATTAGTTTCAGAAAAAAAAGGTATCTCACTGATTTCTGACTGTATAGTTATACAGATGTGAAAATGGAGTTTTGAAGTTCAGACATGACAATTGCGATAATAAATTCCAGAAGCAAAGAAACTAAAAGGGTCTAAAAACCCACCCAAGCATGCAATGCAAATACTAGTAGTTCTGAATGTGAGATTCACCAAACCGTTCGTTTCAGAATTCCAAGAATAACCTCGCCGGTCCGGAGCAACAAGACCCTTCAAAGCTCAAACCAAATTTAGCAGGCAACACACAACATTGGCCTGCTCTTGAGCGACACCGCTGCAGAACGGACGCTGCCCCGGAAACCTCTCCCCTCCACCGCTCTGGCGCCCCCTCCCCCGCTATAAAAGCCTCCAAGAACATCCACCATCTCCACCATAACAAAGCCACGATCCATCCGAATAAACCGAAGACTCCCAATCCTGACAAATCCGAGCTCGCGTCCGCAGAGGTCCATGGCGTCCAAGTCCGGCGAGCTGCGCATGACGCTGCTGGGCGTGGCCCTGCTGGGGCTGCTGCTGCTGAGCCAGCACGCGGCGCCCGTCGACGCCACCGAGAGCGCCGCCCCCGGCCTGAAAATGACTAGCTTCAGCTTCAACAGCAACAACAGAAACTACAACGCCGGCGGCCGCACTCTCAGCAGCTTCAGCATGAACGCCGGCGACAGCGAGAAGAAGACCCGCGGCAAGGGCGTCTGATCGCCGCGCGCACGATGATCCACACCCATGCTTGCCGGCCACATGCCTCGCCTCTCACCACGCAGCGTTACCGTACTACTATATCTACATGCGACCGTGGGACAACGTCGGCCGGAGCTCGATCGGCGTAGTTGCCGCGCGGCTGTCAAAGTCCCTTGTTTCTTTCTTGATTTGTGCTTGTGTTGGGTTCGGTGTTTTTCTTTCTTTTGATTAATCTTGTTTTCAAATGCATGTACGCATGTGACGGCACCAGTTGGTCTTGTGTGTAAGTCTATTATTAAGAATAGACTAGCAAGACGACTCATGCTAACTTCTATTCTTGGATTCCAATCTCTAGTAGGGTCCGTTAAGTTTGGTTTGCGCGTGTTATGTTGTACTCTTACTAACTTCTTTCTTAAAACTATTCATTAAAAAAACTAACAAGACGACTCATACAAATAGCATCGCTAGAAATGCTAACCATATTGTTTTCATCATAACTATCTGTTTCTAGTTACATTAGAACATTTAGGCTTTGCAAGTAGCCAGTACCCTTCGGTTACAAAGGAATGAAAATAAAATCAAGGTAAAGTGAAATATAATGTTATAATATATTTTTTTCGACGATCAATAATGTTATAGTATAAGAATTACTAATACATGTGCAAGTTACTTGTTTGGTTCTCCTCTTCTAGACGGCAAAGTTCCTGAATTTTTGGGACTTTTTTCTTAAATTAGATATTTTCATTTCCTGTGGCTGGCTGCATTTTCGATTTCTTGGATTGATTATGAACTAGGGTGTGTGAGAACATACCTTGAGCCATCTTGCAACAAATCTCCTCACGGGCACTTCAATTTTTTTAGCCTTGTCTAAGTTCTTGTTTTTTTTCATATTTTCTACAAATTCTTGAAATTCATGGTGACATCTTATATTTTTATTTTGTGGTTGTTTGATTTGTTTTTACATTTTTTGTATTTTTGCTGTTGTTTTTCTCTGCATAAAAGTTTGAACTTGAGGTTGAGTGTTCAAACCGGAGGTTGTAAGTTCCAAGCTACGAATCCGATGAAAAAGATCTGATTTCGGGTTGAATCTATCAACCATATTAGAACTTTCGACCTCCAAAACAGAAAACAAGTTCCAATCTCTTGGTCCAACCGCATTGGAAGTTGCAACCTAACATTTGATCTTTTTCGAGAACTTGTGTACCTATCGGCTCGTTCTTATTCAATTTGCCTTTGTGTTGTCTTGAGAAAGACCTCCTTAATCACTCATAAGATCTGCATATTACTAGTTGACAATGAGTAATGGTGTTGGGTAGAAAAGAAACTATGTTGGATTGTGCATGAATTCAGGATATAGGCCATAAGCCAAGTTTCTTGAGAGAATTTGTATTGGTCCCTTCCATTCCCGTCTTCAATTTAAAATGAATGTTCACTACCAGAAAGGACATAAGGGACGACGGTTCAAGATGCATATTAACAACGGAAAAATAGACTCTTCAAATTTGAGTCTGTGATGTGGACCACATATTCCCCGTCTGGATGTTCCATATTACACCGTCTCGGATGGCCACTATCAGACAGTTTTTTTTTGGCACACATGTTAATCAGATCAGAGGCGTGCATGTGTGTCTCTGAGTTATATGTTAGAGATGGATGTTTTGTTTTGTTTTTATTAACATATGGATGTTTTGTAACCCATCGTCTCCGATGTACACTATCAAAGACGCTGTCAATAAGGCACTCATCTGTTCTGTATATTCTGCCCTCTCGAATTAAGATCTTTTTTGGTTGGTCATCTCTCCTCGTCTGTGGGTTCTGAATCTTTAGAAATCAATATTTGCAACAGCAATAGGATAGGATAAATCAAACCCATAATACAAAGCTCAGCATGTCGCTCCCACGCGGGCGACACAGGCGGCCCTCCCCCGTCACCTAGCCGCCCCTCCTCTCCCCTTCTCCTGCCGCGCCGCCACCGGAGCTGGCCGTCGGCAAGGCCTCTCGGCCGGCCGGGATGGTGGCGGCGTGGCCTTTCCCTCCCTCGGCGGCGCGTGCAGCAGCAGGGCCGACGATCCTTTCCCTTGTGCGTGCTGCGTGGAGTTCGGCGGGGAGGTCGCGGTGGCTGTGGCCGCGCCGGCCGGTGTCCGTGCCGGCCCAAGGGGATGGCGCGGGGCTCCTTCTCCCTCTCCTCCGTTCCTCCCCTTCTCCAGTCTTGAAGATGGCGGCACAGGCGGGGGCGGCCGGTCCGGTAGCCGGGAGGCCGGATCCGGTGGCTGGACGGCCGGATCCGTGGCTGGGCGGCCAGATCCGGCTGGCCTTGCCGGGCGGCGTGGTGACCAGCGGCGACCGGTTCGTGCAGGGCCTGAGTCAGCAGCGGCAGGCTGCTGGGCCGGCTATGGCCGGGGTGACGGCTAGCCAGCCGTGGCCATGGTTTGTGCAGGCATTAGGGGGTGGCGCTCTATCCTATGCCTGCCCCTCCCTTCACAACCTTGGCTGCTGCTTCGGCCGGCCAGGACTGCTCCGGCGGTGGCTACGCCTGTCCACCACCTGGCTGAGCTGAATGTGACCGGGGCAGCTTCTGCGCAGCCTGTCTGAAGGGCCGGCTCAGGTACCTGCTGTTGTGGTCAAGATGGAGGCGGTGGCATCGGCAGGGGGAGTCGGGTTCGGGGCCTAGCGTCCGGATCCGGCGGCCCTAGGTCATGGGCGGCGCCCGAGTTGGTGAGGGCACACGCCATGTGGGTGCTAGCAACGATGTCGGCAGCGACTTTGGAGGGTGCCAGAGCCGACGACGATGGTCAGTGGCGGCCTCGACCTGAGGCAATGTGATGCAAGCGGCAGAGTCAGGTCCGGCTCGACATGGCCTGGTCGGAGGGGGTGGCGGCCGACGAAGTTGAGCGGCTGCTACGTGCTGCCGGCGCGTCGATGCCCCTCTGAAGGGGCTTCTGTGGGGCGGCGGGACAACGGCAATGGCGGTGAAGGCTAGCAGGGGGTCCAGCTTCGTGACTCGGCGTTCGTGCTAGAGGATTCTTGAGCAAAAGCCTTGGCGATGGTGACGCCATTAGGCGCCGCTCCCCTGTTGAGGGCGTCGTGTTTTCCCTCTAGCATGTCTTCCAAGGGTGAAAACCCGGTCCACATTGGACGTGCGACGGTGGCGCCATCGGCGTCATTCCCTTCCTGGAGACGTCGCACTTGGATTTTCGTCGTGGCTTCGATGCATTGCGAGGGTTTGTGGTTGGAAGTCGGAGCTGCTCTTCGGTGTTTGAGCTTGGCAACGATGACCGGTGATGGCCTTAGCTTCGGACTCATCGGGGGTGACTAGTGGATGGCCTGCCATGGAAAGTCGGAGCTGCTGGTAGCTTGGTTTTCACGCTCGGCAACGATAACCCATGGTAGTGCGTTGTGTTTGTGCTCAACCGCGTTGCGTGGGTGGTTAACCATTCGGGTGCCTTTTTAGTATCTCATCCAGCTAACCTTCTTGTACATAATATTATTTCGTCTTAATTGAGCGGCAGAGCTCCTGCCTTTGTTTCAAACGAACAAAAAAAAATCGAAGCTCAGCATATATGTGTTCAACAACGACAAGAGAACATCACTAAATAAAAACAGCAACGCTGGTGCTGGTTACATGTAAAGCGATAATCGCTTTGTGGTACACATCCTCAGCAGAAAGATGAGCTTACAACAGAAATGATCGATTTTTTTTTTGTGAAACAGAAATGATCGATCAATGCCACTGGAGGGGCCGGGTAGCATTAGCAAGCGTGCAGAATGCAGGGTCGGTGCATATGTCTGCACGTACACCTAGAACGCATCGGGGCACGTACGTACCGCCGGGGTATATGTATCCGTAAAAAAGGATACCCACGAGCTAGCGTACGTACGTGTATGTGTATACTGTAAGTGTAGTGTGCATGTACGTGCACGTCGTATGATCGACACGAGACTGTATGCTCACTGCCGAAGAAACTTCCATGGCCCCTGGGCTGCTGCCATCCTCCAGGTGCTGGCAAGGGCCCTGACGCCCATGTAGATGGTGAGGGCTACCTATTAATATCTATTATGATCACGTAGTCATAGATCTAGCCGGATACATCTTATAAATGTATAACATGTTCTAGTACGTCTACTAGACAGAGATTAGAGGGAGGAATAGTGCTAGGTTACCAACTATCATAGGCCTTCGATCCAGAGGCGTCGGCTATGGTTGTTGTGCCGGTGTCTGCGCGAGGGCAGCGACGGTCGGTGAAGAGTGCGATGAAGTCGTCGACGTCGGTGGAGCAAGGCGGCGTGGCTGGTGGCTTCCCGTCACTGGCTGCGCTCCTCTCTGATCGGGATTAGGGTTTAGGTTTCAGTGGGGAGCTCGGCTCAGGCGAACCTCGTACTTAGAGCCGTCGGGCCCCACCCCTATATATTGCGCAGTGTGACAGGGGCCCTCCAGCCATAGTGGGCTGGGCGCCCCCGATCAGGGCGCAGATCAAAGGCCCAACTGGGCCGTTGGACCTAATTTGGGATTAGAGATCAATCTAACAATCTCCCCCTTGATCTCCTACCATCTTTTAATTTCATATCATTTACTTTTGTTCATTCCATTACAGATTAGCGCATAGATCATGTTTTATCGTCATGGTCAATTGCCGATAGATTTTAACGACTAAAATACACCACTCTGTTCTGAAATAGATACTTAACTTTGTGCCTTCTTTTGTCCAGGAATTATAGGCTTTCCCTTAAACCCATGCTGACTACATGTTCTCTGAACACGTTGGGTGGTAAGCCTTTTGTAAGCGGATCCGCGAGCATCTTTTTGGTACTTATATGCTCAAGACTTATGATATGATCCCGGACTTTATCTTTCACAACATAATACTTTATGTCAATATGTTTGGCAGCACCATTTGACTTATCGTTGTGAGCATACTGTACTGCCGGATTATTATCGCAGTATAACTTAAGTGGTCTATAGATGTCGTCAACCACCTTCAAACCGGGTATGAACTTCTTTAGCCAGTTCACCTGCCCCATTGCCTCATAACACGCTACAAACTCGGCATACATTGTGGACGATGTAGTGACGGTTTGCTTTGAGCTTTTCCATGAAATAGCTCCACCTGCGAGAGTGAATACATATCCAGACGTGAATTTTCTATCATCTCCTACATAATCAGAATCTGAATATCCCACTATATAGAGTGCATCTGATCTTCTATACGTCATCATCAGGCTTTTCGTTCCTTGCAAATAACGCAAGACTTTCTTTACTAATTTCCAGTGTTCTGTTTCAGGATTGCTCTGGAATCTGCCAAGTAACCCGGCAACAAATGCCAAGTCAGGGCACGTACATACTTGAGCATATTGTAAGCTTCCGATAGCTGAAGCATATCGAACCATTTTCATTTGATCGATCTCATACTGATTCCTGAGGCATTGAAAATCCCCATATCTGTCGCCCTTGACTATAGGAGCAGGTGAGGGACTACATTTGTGCATATTAAATTTGTTTAAGATCTTTTCTATGTATGCCTTTTGTGGCAGTCCTAATACACCTTTACTTCTATCTCGGTGAATCTCGATCTCTAGAACGAACGAAGCTTCACCAAGATCTTTCATATCAAATTTTGAGGACAAAAACTTTTTTATCTCCAGTAGTAGACTGACGTCACTGCTAGTGTAACAGAACCGACCAATTATACGAGATTAAGTAAGGAAATCTTCTGCCGAAGCAGATAATTTAGCAAACTTAAGCCCGTATAACCCGGTAATCCGTGAAACCACGAAGGATTTCAAACCAATCGACATACAAACCAAGATCGTACAAATTTAGCAAGTACTATCACACGTTACATAAAGTTCGCAATCACAGTTGGGTACATCAGAGTTTAGAATATAAAGTTATTACAAACCCAGTTCAATCTGAAATAGCGGAAGCAAATAGTTTTAAAGCCACACACACACTTTTAATTCAGATACAATGCCAGTAGGTAGTCATCTCCAACAAAAGCATCAGATGAGAGATACGGAGTGACCATTGCCCTTGGTCCTAGTTGTCACCCATCACTGGGTACAGGCAGTTAATGCAATAGCCATAGTATATTTGACCATCTGCAACAACAATGGGAACAACGCCCTGAGTACGAGAAGGTACTCAGCTAGACTTACCCGTCTTAAACCAAAATAAAGCTGACTTGTTTGCGAAAAGCATAAGTTATCATGAAGACATCATTTTAAATACTTTGCATCATCTTTATTAGGACCTATCCATCTAGGTAAGCACCTGTACTATAGCAATCACTTGATTAACCAATAACATCTAGTTACCAATTTAGATTTAGCATATCCCATACCATCCAGATAACCATCATTGTTCCATAATAATTACTACGATGCCGTAGCTCGAGTCAAGTGCTCACTATCCAGGAGCGATGGCGATTCGAATCGATTCCTAACCAGCTGGTGATTTATTCCTCACACAAACCATGCTTCCCCTGCCAGGGTAGCTTAGATCACCAAGGACACTATTTAGGTAGCCGCGGGACAATCTGGAGCCGCAGTACCTAGGGACCGCCTGACTGCCAGGAATCAGGGTGCACCTGCCCTTAGGCTCACTCTTCGCGTCCCTGTCATATCCCCATCAGCACTAATACGCGCACTCGTGTAGATCCCGGCCCGAATAGTGTCACTAGCTTCGCGGTCGAAAGGTACTTTATTCGGCCAGCTAAATGTGAGGCATGCGTTCAACATGACAAGAGGGACGAGCAATGATCGGTCCTTAATCGACACAGACGGAAACTAACAGCACCCTAGAACCCTGTCTGGTTGTCTCCAACTTTTCCGTCCGGTCTCCAATTATTCATCACACATGGTTAATTCTAGGATATTATTCTTTCCATAGCTAAATTCTTTCAGTAACCACCTATAATGTAGGTGACCGGATATCACCGATCGCTACCGGTCTAAGCAAGGCTAAGCAGTTATTCGATCCTGACCTAACAGGGTAAAAGGTAATAAGGTAGGCAAGGATAGTAATAAATGCATCAACGGTTTCAATCAACTCCTACAACTTAATGCAACAATATATAAACTCATATATATAGAAAGAATTGGTTTTATAAAGTAGGAGACTTATAATGCTCCGGGGCTTGCCTCGTTCGAACGAACTAGGTTGATGATCCACGCACTCGAGCAAGTCCTCTCATTGCTCCTCTTCCTCTAGCACCTCCTGTGCCTGGACTTCTTGTGGATCTGTCCCGGTCTACTCTTTTTGAACTACTACTAGCAACTCCTCCAGCGATCCTGTATGATGCAGATGTATAAGTGCTAATGCATAGGTGCATCGAAGAGATGACATGTAATGATCATGATGCATGGAATGTAGATGAACATGTTTAACTTTATTGGACATAGTAGAAGTAAAGCTCTTCTATAAGGTAGCCAACATCATCCAAGAACATGTACTACTATACTACTACTACAACCACTGTACTAACATGCCAAGTCACCACAACAAGTTAAGATGCTTCAAAGATACACCAAAACAAACATTATTAACTAAACATGCATAAAAAAGATTATTTGATTTCATTTTAAACTAGGGCTACAACAGCAACATATATTTTTAGTGCTCATAAAAATCTGAGAAAATTACAGTAGTAGAGTACTACTCTAAGTAGACTACCATAAAATTTTCATGGCATTTGGATAAGTAAAATAGCATACACAAAAATGACAAGCTATGGTTGATAATTAAGCATGAAAATACTTTGTACTATGAAAAGTGTCAAACAACAGATTTGATATTTTTTCTATGTTCTACACAGTAAACAATCATTGCACAAAAATTATCATACACATGTTTTATACAATTTTTGCTCTCTATCAAAATAACAAAAATCATCAATTAAAGGAACTTGAACTACACATCAATATTTCTCTACAGAACATGGATGACATATATTTTTTCTACAAAGTACATCTCAACAATAGATCAACCAAATTGGAATCATATTTTTCTGATGTATATTCTATTTATTAAGCATTTGCCAAGAAAACATCAATTACAAGAATTAACTAAAGCCCTATATAAATGTATCCCAAAACTGACATGCAACATTTTTATATTGTAGATCTAAGAATAAGAAGCATACAGAAATTTATTTCACCAAAATTGGGGCACCACAGCAGCAACTATGTATTTTAGAATCCTTTAAAAGCATTTTCCAGAAATCTTTTTCTTTTAAAACGAAAATCCAGCCGGGCGCAAACGCTGGGTGCACCCGGTGTTGTGCACCAAGCCGCCACTCGCCATCGCGGGTTGGGCCTCGCGCCACGGGTTAGGGACTCGAAAGCAGGGGAGGAGCTCCGCCGACCGGTGCTCACCGACGGCGAGCCCCCCCGGTGGTGCAGGCGGTGCCGGCGTGCTCACCACACTGAGCCGCACCGACGGGAAGGGTGGGATGGCCCGACGACGTGGTGGCCCACGCGACTGCGGCAGTGTTCTCGCCGGAGAGAAAGGGGGCGGCCACGCTCGGCCCTCACCATGACGACGGCAGCCGTGAGTGAGCGCAAGCGAGGCAGGGGTCCAAGGCGGAGCTGCTGGCGGCGGGAATCGAGAAATGGGGTGGCAGTGAGGGAGCTTGACGCCAGCGGAGCGCGTCGACGAGCTCGGCAGCTTGAGCGCCCGCCTGGGATTTTGAAAAGGAGAACAAGAGGGAGAGAGAGCGAGAATGGAGAGGGAGGTTCGGACAGGGGTCTTCAAGGCGGGGTGGGGCCGGTCGAAATGGGGCAGGTCGGTGGTGCCACGCGGCGAGCTCGCTGGCGCATGGCCGCCTTACATGCTCTCAAGGCCCTAGCTTGATCGGGCTTGGCGCGTCACGCGACGCACGTGAGAGGGGGCTTGCGCCGAGCAGGCTGCGGCCAAGCAAGGGGGCTGGCTGGATGCAGCTGTGGGCCGAAAATGAGGCGCCGGCCCAACAAGGTGAGGAAAGCCTTTCTCCTTTTTTTTCAACAGATTTGAATCACAAATTTGAGCAACCAAAAACTGTTTTCAG